TGCCTGTATGCTGGGTCCCCAAGAGTCCCGACAGCTCCAGGTCAGGCCCTTTGCCAGACGTGAGCATCCCCCTACAAGTGCAGTCTGTGCCCAGGCAGTGTGGGGAGCTCACCCCACGTCCCTGCCCTCCATCCTCACCTCTGCTGCATGCAGCAGCAGGATGGGCTCTGGCCCCAGCAGGGATGCTCAGGCTCCACACAAAGCTTGGGCAGGGTTAAGTCAGGACCAAAAGGCCAAACGAGGCATTTCCCTGGTGCAATAGGGACATTTTCCCCACCTGGGGAACCTCAAATCCTCACAGAGCAGCTCAGCAGAGCTCCACTCACCAGGCAGCTGCCCTCGCAAAGCAAAACGCTACCACTGAGATCCAGAAGCTGCAGAAAGGGCTGAGCCTCTGCGAGCCATGTGGCTCACACCAAGGACTTGGATGGACCTGGGGACCTGCATGTCTCCATCCCTGCTGTGCTGTGCTCACTGCCTGGGCTGGGGGCTGGACAGGACGCTGTGAGTCCTGCACAGTCCTGCGAGGGGTCAGCCCCTGGGCTTTGGCTCTGTGCTCCCTTCCCAGATGGCAGCACCTTACCCACGACCTTGGGCAGCTTCTGGCGGCGCAGCGGGATGCGCGGGAGATCCATGCCGAGGCGTCTGACCCGCCCGCACAAGCGTCTCGGTGACTTCTTGGCTGTTGCCGGGTCCTGGCTGGAGCTGCAAGAGAAGGTGACAGCCCCATCAGAGAGGCACCAGCAGCCACCCTGTGGTGGGGACAGTGCTCATGGGGTGATGGAGAGAGTCAGGGCTTCAGGGACCTGCAGGGACAAAAGGCATTAGGAAAAAATAATGGGGCAGGTGAAAGGGGGGGTGTCGGAGACCTGCCGGGGGAGCTGCCAGCCCAGCACTGCCTCACACCACATCGGGATGCAGAGCAGTGCCAGTGGCTGGTGGCAAGGCCAGATCTGGCCACGGCTGTTGGCAGCCCAAAGCGCCCAGCTGAGACCCCAGAACAAACATGTGGCTTCTCTCTGGTTTTGAGAAGTTTCCAAGCAATTATCTGCAGCCGCAGGAGCGAGTGGCTTCCCAGGCTGATACAGGAGCTGTGCTGTGCCCATCCCATGGGATGCTCCACAAGGCACCACCGCAAGGGTGGCACTGTGGGTGACCTGGCTTTTGGGGACATCACAGAGGTCCAGGCACCATGGGAGAGAGGGAACTGACCTCCCCTCTCACTGTGTGATGCTTCACCAATCAGCGCTGTGCTGGTGCTTTTCTCTGCGGGTAATTGCCTGCAGCCCCCAGGACTCCTGAGCCAGATGTGCTGGGATAGGGCTCAGCTGGCACAGCTGCAATGGGAGCTTCTGGAAAATTCCGGAGCAGCAGCTGCTGACACAAGGGGAAAAAAGGAGCTCCCACAGCCCGCCAGGCCTGTGCTGAGCAGCATAAGCCTTTCCCTCTGCATCCCTCTGGGGATGTCACCTGGTGCTGTCAACATGCTGCAGGCATCAGCATCCCTGTCCTGCACATCCCCATCTGGGACAGCCAGCAGTGCTGCAGCCCATCACCCCCTCCAGGGCTCGTGCCACAGCCCAGGGGATTGTTCTGGGGGTCTTAGTCAGATCTCGATGCCCGCACTGTGTTTCAGAGTTCCCTTTGCAGATGAGCTCCAGCCTCCCAGAGACGGGGAAGGACCCGGTGGGTCTTCGTGAAGTGGTGGCCAATGAGAGGCAAACAGCGAGGGAAGAGGCTTACGCTGAGTCCCTCCATCCCCCCGTGCTTGGGTGCTGCCCTGAGGATACAGCAGGAGCTGCTCACACCCGGGGGACCTGCAGCACACACGATGCTGCTCTGCCTCAGCTTCCCCACAGCACCATTGTCCCAGTGCGGTCCCCGTGTTCCTATGCTGCTCCCAGCCCTGCACTGGTCACCCATGTCCCCACCTGTCCCCTTCCCTGCTCAGGCTTCTTGGCAGAGCCCGGTGAGCCTGCCTGGCCCCGGCACTCACCCACAGGCTTCATCCTTCTTGCGGCAGATGCAACAGCAGCAGAGCAGGGAGAGTAGAAGGATGAGCAGCAGTGCCAGGAGGGCTCCTGCCCCAATCACCCCCATCCGCTGATTGGCCTCTGCAAGACAGAACCGGTGGCTCAGCCCCATCCAGACCCGTGCACCCCCGGTGCCCATCCTGTGCCCGTCCCTGCTCTCACCCATGGGGCAGGCGCCCGTCAGCGGGTCACAGGCGCCATCGTGGCACCCGCAGGCTTCAGCACAGTTGGCTCCATAGCGGCCAGGCGGGCACGTCAGGTTACAGCTGGGAGGAAACAGAGTCAGTGATCATGAGCCAGGATGGAAAAGACCTTCAAGCTCATCCAGTCTAACCATTCCCAGCATTGCCAAGGCCACCACTAACCCCTGGCACTGAGGCCTTGGCTACACGGGGTGTGCACACTTGCAGGGACGGCGCCTTCAGGACTGCCCTGGGGCTCCT